TGCTCATCCCTATTGTACAGCTCATGAAAACCGGTCTCACTCGTAACGGTCGGCCCACCTTCCAGGAAGAGTCTCTGGGAGATCAGCCTAAAGGAGAGAGTAGAAAGGAGAGACACCTCTTACCGGGACAGATAAAAGAGGACATTACTTAGAAGAAAGACTGTACATGTAGACGTGTTAATGAGTGTGAGCTTCCTCCACCCCCAAGATCAGGCAGCGAAATCTGTCCCTCAATAACACCCGTGTTAGAAGGAACAAAACATCATTCAGATCCTTTTACTAATTGCTGCACAATCGTAGGGCTCTTTCCAATGCATAATGACAGTTCCCTAAAGCCTTAGCCTATTATACATGTTGATTTACAATTTATTTATAAATAAAAAGTCTTGGAAGACAAACCTGATTCGTTGTTGAGTGTTAACACTGTCGTCCGTGCCTCCTGCACATTGCCATGGTAATACTGCAGCAGGTCACCAGCTCCAAAAAACAGTCCTCCCAAGAGTGACATCACACCACAGTAATGCCCCATGTTGTTGATGCACTATTTGTATTTTTAAATTTATGCATTTTAGGACTAGAGAAGGCATGGTGGTGCAGTGGTAAGCACTGTTACCGTACAACTCTGGAACCTGGGTTTGAGTCTCCACTAGGGTTCCATGTAGGTGAGGTCTGCAAATTCTCCCCGTGTTGTCATTGGGTCTCCTCCAGGTACTTCAGTTTCCCGCCACATATCCAAAGACGTAACATAAAGCAGCCCAAGCTCAATGAGCATGCGCATTCGAACTTCGACAGCTCTACATCGTGAGGAACTAAAGAGGACAACAGCAAACATGGCAGGCAGTATGTGTAAGTGTGCTATTCGAGGCTGCGACAGGGATGTACTCTTCACAAGGAACCCAATAATTAACAGACATGGCTGATGTTAATCTTCAGCAGGTTAATCAGGGGTTAGTTTCCTAAAAGCTCCCGTTAGCAACTTACATAGTTGGAACCGCTCAGTTGCATTTTTTGTGTAAGTTGCATTTGGGAAAACGTACCCAAGTTTAGCAGAGGAGTGGCAAACAACATTACGAAGTCTGTACGCAGTGTTTTTAGTTCTGTACTGAACTTGCATGACAAAGCTATCATCGTTAAGTACTTCAGTTTCCCCCCACCATCCAAAAACATGCATTAGGTTAACTGAAGTTACCAAATTGGCCATAGGTGAGTGAATGCCAGGATGCACTGGGAACACGGCAGACGGAGTGGCTGTCCATCACAGAACACACACTTACACAAAGGGCAATTCTGAGACACAAATTCACCCATATGCATATTTTGGGGCTATGGCAGGAAACCGGAGTATATAGACAAAATCCCCACAAACATGGAAAAACATGCAAGCTCCATAAACACAGAGATGGGTGTGGGAATCGAACCCAGAGCCCCGGAGGTGAGGCTACCGTGTTTTGGTTAATAAATGATAAATCATTTTACTTATTATTACAATAATTTGTTTGTTTTGTTTTTGCATGTTTTCCATGTCTCCGCATTTTGGACGTCTGTGGCCTGTACTACGAAGCGGGGTTACTGGCTTCTGGCTTGAGATGCTTCAGAAACTCACAGTAGTCCTTCATTTGTCCCTTCACTCTTCCATATTTTTCATATAGCTGCTTCTTTTCCTTTGTCTACAGTTTCCAACTTACTTTCGCCCTCTTCCTGTCATCTTTCCATTCTTTCTCCCCTCTACATCAATCTGCAAAGACAGAGGTTCTCAAATTGTGGTACGTTTACCATGAGCTCCCTCTAGTGGTAAGCAAGGTATCTCCTTTTATTGTTGTGGCTCCGCGGAGTGCATAATATTTTGAGGTGATCCGCGGTGCAAGAAGAACTATTGTGCTGTGAGATGACTGCTTTTTCCGCCACATATAAAATGACTGTGTTTGTACTCATTAATGTTAAGTACTTAGATAAAACTTGCATTTACACCCCAATCACAACAATACCAGAAGTTCAGTTTACAATAGTTAGGATTATTATTACTGTTGATATCACTGCCATTGCTTTAGTTGTGCTTGGTTAATACAAAAAACAATTGTCTGCTGAATCACAGATAATATAGAGGTAACATGGGTCCAATACAAGATACTTCTAGTCATGTCTTTCATATCAGTAACACTTGTAGGGCACTGATCTCATCATGTATTGTGTTTGACTATTATGCCTATTTATGAGAACATAATAAACAATTCCAGCAACAATGATAATAACATTAATAATTATAATGGTGAAAACAATTTGAAATGTGAAAACAAAAGACCAACAACAATAATAAGTGCTTATTCACCCATCCATCCATCCATCCATCCATCCATCTATCCATTATCTAACTGCTAATCAGGTCAAGGTCACTGGCTAAAAGGCTTTTAACTCATGGAAATCCTTTTGTCCCTATAGGGGACAAAGCCTGCCCCTTGGTGTCCATCACTTGCAGCATTTGCTTCATGACAAACAACTGACTCACAAAGGGCGACAAACTGAGGCCCCTGTCACATGTGTACCAATCCCTTGAGAGGAACCAATTCTGACACCATGTGAAGTAGGGGAACGAGGACAATTCAGGCTGCTGTCATGTAGGTGGCAACAGAAGCCTCTTCATCCACTGAGGACCAGCTCTAGCTGCCATTTGCACACAGCAACCGGCAGTGAGCTTTCACCCGGGGGTGCATTTCCCAAAAGCTCCCATTAGCAGCTTACATAGTTGGACCCATTCTGTTGCATGGTTCCAACTGTAAGTGGCTAGCGTAACTGGCAGCTATGCTTTTTAGAAATGCACCTGAGTGCCAATTACCATGACACCACACCTGTAGAAACCCCCTTCCACACTGCTTCTCTCTGCCAGTTCTCATCATTGTCAGTCTCACATCACAGATGTTGATATTGTAACGCGACGGAGGTTAATTGTTCCTTATGGACAGTATTCTCAGTAGGTCTTAAGGGCCGACTTGCAAATGCATGGCCCTCCAGAAGGTGGCGCTGACAGACCGGTTTGTTACCCATTAAAAACACCTATGAAAGGAGGGGAAATCCCAGGGGAAAATCATCTGGGACCCTACAAAGCCCAGCTACAACCTGTTTATTCCTCTACCGTTCACCAGGCAGTACCGAAATACCAGATCTCAGACAGCCGGGTCAAAGACTAGTTTCATTAGGAATTCATTACCACTAGGCGGCGACAAACACTACATATACCAAAAGCAATGTTTATATACAATTTACATGTGAGTTTACATCCATCCATGAGCCACTCGTCACAATTTCAAGCCAATACATAGAGATATGGTTCTCTTTGACATTAACCATTCTATACTCAAATCCATATTCGTGCAAATGAACCCATTGCAGGTACTGGCATATTAATTTGTCCAACGACCACATCGTCGATATCAACATTCAAAGAATGTTTTACTGACACACGGTTAACTTGAATTCTTCAGTCAAGAAAATGGGAACTGACCATTCCCCAGTGTGATTTCCATTGAAATCACCACTG